CCCCCCCCCCCCCCCCCCACCTTACTGCTATGCGTGGCAGAACGGAGATGGCACGGTGGTTGCTGCTGAAAGGAGCTAAGATAGATGCTGCGGGCCCAAAGTGGACGACACCTCTTCATTGCTCGATTGAACGCGGGCATATCGCCGTAGTAGAACTTCTCCTGGCATCCGCTGCCGACGTTACCGTTCGACAGGGTGGTCATGGTGTCACGCCCTTGGATGCTGCCGTCGACGGTGGTTTCATCGATATCATGAAAGCTTTGGTCGAGCACGGTGAAAGTGTCAACTTGGCCTGCACCCTGCGTGGTGCACCTTCGCTGGACTACGCAGCGTACAAAAACAACGTTGGGGCGTTCGACGTCCTCGTGGAGGCGGGGGCCAACATCCAAGCAACTCGAATCAATGGCGAGACACCTCGTCATGCGGCTGCAGGCAAGCTCAACTTTGAGGCGACCCTTGCGCTACTGAAACACGGCGCAGATATGAACGCGCTCGGTCAGACCAGGTGGACCCCGTTACACTCTGCAGTACACTCTGCTGGTGACGAAGGCGCTGTAGAGGTAGTGGATCTCCTGCTGAGGTGGAACGCAGACGAAGCAGACGATGATACTTACGGTCGCACACCTCGCAACCTTGTCGTTCGCATGGCTCCAGAAACGGACAGAATGTTTGTGAACGTCCAGCGCGTGTGGAAGCCATTGCAATACGCTCCGCAAGACCGAGCGTGGCGCCACCGAGGTATGCTAGTCCTGTGCCGTGTTCACCCCGAAAGGTTGGTCTACGGCAGAACGCCAGCCATGTGCAAGAGAGTACGGTGCTGCGGGTAACACGAAGCCGGACCAAGCTGGTCGAGAGGGAACAAGTAGCCGGCGGCAGCGAGTAAGGTGCTACGGCGGATGGCAGAACCGTTAGCGAGTGGTCCAATATGGCGTACAGGGTCCTTGGGTTGGACGAAGGCATGTTTCGGACGATTGTAGGGTTTTTGTGAACTCGATGAGATCAGCTGCTTTCGTCTTATCATGCTGGGGCTGGGTTTACGCCATGCAGTACAAAAGTGCAGACTAGACTAGTGGTTATGCCTTTCTTTTCTTTCATGTTTTTTCTGTATCGTAACGCACTACAGAGGCACATTGGTGTGATGAGTGTGCCACTAGAAATTGGTAATGAACCCATCATGTTTCGCCGTTCTTGATGATGTGATTGTGGACAGAACTCGATCGGCTACCTCCGCTGGGTGTAGCTGGTCCGATACCCTCGTCAATGGTTGGAGCTCTCGCGGTGCTCAACCTCTCTCGACGTGGCAAATACATGTGTAGTTCGGATCGAACCTCTGCTCAATGGATAGTGACGTGACGTATGAGTTGGCCTCACCTCGTACTTCTAATCGATACTACCTGTTCTTTTTCGGCACCCCACTCGAAATCTCGTCGTGGGCCGTTGGTTAGTTGGTTATCCTAACTTTCGTCATCGACCTCAACGTCATCATTGTCTTCCCACCGAACGATCCTAGTCACCATTGAATGAATGAACTCGGTGTTGTACGATGCTGCTACTTTTATGATTTGGCCACTGCACATCATTTTTGCGCGAGTTATTGCCTTTGTCCGCGTCAGAGGCAGTAGCAGTCTTACTTTTACTCCGAAATTCTTATAGGTGGTGATGCTTCTTCTAGCACCCACTCACCACATACATGCTGCAACATCAACAAGCAATTGTATTTATTCAGGATTTCGGTGGTGGCGATGCAACCACAACATACAACACGAAGCAGCGCGGACTTTCCAGCACACTGGGGCGGGCAGCAGCCAAAATGTAGGCGTGAATTATTCCAAGAGAGACATAGTTCAAGCACGCAGCGCTTGGTAATACGCACTGCTGCTCCTGTCACTTCGCTAGGTAGGTGGAGGACTCCAGTAGCAGCGATCACTGTCGACGTAACATGTGTTTGTTCTTGCCGTTGGAGCCCACAAGAACGCCACTCTTCCGTAAACAAACCAGAAGGACCCCAAAAAACAAAATAATACTCAAGTACATAAAAACTCTTGGCACAACAAGCTCCTAGCAGTGAAGGAGAGATGGACTGCTATACATATACATGCATCACTTCGGCGGCGAGCACAAAATGTCTTAGATGAAACACGGGGTACTACAGCAGCACACCAACAAACACTGCAGCAGTAGTATCAAAACGGGTAGAGTCGGTAGACCTTGCTTCCGTCGCTGGTGGCGAACTCGGTCAGCTCCTGCGCACGAGAATGTGTACAAAAAGCGACGGCAGGCACGGCGGTCCCAATAAACCACGAAGTGTGAGTGAAACATCAGCAGTCGAGGAGAGCTGCCGCCATAGACAACCATTGCGACTCACACTGGCCACGAGTGAATGGAAACAAACCTTGCCAACCAGTATCTAGTCTAGACAAAAAGCTCGTCCCGCACCGAGAAATGTCAACGAACGGTGCGTACTCAACAAACAGCTAAATACTGCTGTAGCTCGTAAATATTTTTTGAAGCATGACACATGTATATACCTGAATCACAGGGCGTGATGCAGCTGCAGTACGTATCATGCAAAGTGTCGGCCCACGCACAAGAAATGTTGTTGAAGTATATACTTAAGATGAAGGGTCTGCTGCAGACTCCCTACAGGTTGGGCAGGGTGCTCTTCTTTCGGGTAACCGTTCTTTTCCCAACACATGAAAGTCTCTTGTGGCACTGCGGACAAATGTGTACTCGCTGCAAATACCTGTGAGCTCTGTGACCCTCACTCCCAAAACCCTGCCCGGTACTTGTGTAACTATGATACTTCCAATCGTGCGCGCGAACACAGGCAGACATATCGTGGCATGTAGCATAACCGTTCTTATCCACAGACATCTGAAACTATTCCGATTCCAACCCCCCTCCGATTTCTTCTGCAAGTTCGAGAGTTTGCATTTTCTCTGGCACCGGCGGCGGAACCTACGATGTATGCACATTTCTCTGAGTTTGCGCTTCCAAGACCCTACCCGAAACCTCCTGTAGCGTCTCCACAGGTAAAGTCTACCACCTCGTGGAACAACGCCGGTGGTGCCGGCATAGGACTGCTGTGTGTGTGTGACATACCGTCTGGAACCCCTCTGGACACCAGGCTCACAAAGCCAAACCTGCAGAAGCGCACCTGTTGTGGCAGGGCACCTTTTGTGGCAGGGTAAATACAGCACACCAAACATACACTCACATCAATAGGTCTGCTGCGCTTTTGTGATACACGCAACACATTTGTGGAAGCAGCAGTCTACAGCACTGCCGTAGTTTTCCGAGAGGGACCATGAGCAATACTCCTACAGCAAACCCTTGGCGTGGATCATCGGTGGACGGGGGCAAGGTAGAGCCAGCTGTTGTGGGAGGCTCACTGCAGGCGTGCCCAAAACCAGGCAGGCGCCCGTGTACAACAAGGATGGGGACGTACAGGAGGTTTTCGCCGCTGTCGTGAAGGCGGTCGACGACTTCCAGGTGCTGCACGGCTATGTGAGAAAAGGGGACCGCGAGAGTGTACGTCGAAGAATTGGATGGCGACAAACACAAGTACTTCTGCCTGGCAGACGCCACGTGCCGCCGAAAGAACAAGGTGGTTCCCTGCAAAGGCGGAGACCGCAGCAACGTCAACTCGCACCTCAAGAACGCGCACCGCGTGCAGGGCATGGGTGGCGTCGTGAAGCAGGGAAAGAGGAAGGCAACGCAAGAGAGCATCGTGAAGAACCTCTTCGCGAGCAAGGAATCTGGGGATGGGAAGGACAGGTGTGTTTGAGTGTTCTTGAGGGCCTGTCCTAACGTAAAAGTGGCACCAAGATAGATACGGGATGTTCAGCAGTACAAAAAAACTACGTACGATGCTTTTACAATAATGTGCGTTTTTTTGTTTTTCACATTATGTGCTGCTGTGAAGACAGAAGTCTCCCCGAGATATACATATGTAGCCACAAACAATCGGAAGGGGATGTTCTAAGTCTTTGCAGTGAATGGAGGGAAACCTACACGTAGCCGGCGGGCCAAAAGACTGCATGTGTTTGGTCAACGGGGGAGCATGAGTTTATGGGTTTCGCTGCCGGGGAAAGTGCGCATTGGTTATAGCGTGAAGGAAAAATAAAGGGAATACGACACAACAGGGTATACACCCTGGTCGAAAAGCGACACAGCTGGGTACGCGGTCATTAACAGCAGTAAATGCACCCATATCATTGGTCAGCGCCCAATTTCACCCCGGTGCGTCCGAAAAGGCGCAGGGTATACCCTGCCGTGACTTTTCTCAATAACTATACCGTGTTTTCGGAAATGTACCCTGATCTGTCGGGAAAGTGGACCCTTTCATCAATCATTTCCCCCGCAGGAATCTTCCCAACTCTTTTTCCCCTCCAACCATGACATACCAAACGGCGACTCTTCCCGCCCAATAACAACCATGGCAACGGGGCAGGAATCAGTTTCCTCCCCTGCGAAACAACACCAACCGTCAACTCTTCCGCTCTAAGTCAACAATGGCCGGGCAACACGTATTTCAGCACAATTGTTCCGTTGGGAAACATGCACACGCGCGTACGATACCCCGTGGAGCGACTGTTTGCTGCAGTCTAGACTATATGCGAGACGCACGCGTCACGCTGTGAAAGCGAGACCGATCCAGAATGGTTGACATGAATAGACTATGCATGTGTGCGTGCGTGCGTTGTCTGTTGTGTCTCAATCGCGATGTGTTTCTTGCCTGAGCTACTGCTGTAGCGGCAGCGGTCACGCTTACCAGCCGAGCAAAGCCGACCAATCCATGTAGTAAGAAAACGTCAGGCTTCAGCGGGATGAGCCGATGAAATACAACGCGAGCACTCTTTTTATTCTCTCTATCGACAGGGAGGGTGATCGAGTTGCACGACACAGCGGTGTCCTGCTGCTAGAGTAAGGATAAGACTTGTGTGTGCTGGTCCTGCCTCTCCCCTCCACCCTCGTTGCGGGCGCGAGCTCGCCGCCAGCACAGCGCCACACACTGGCACGTGCTGTGCATGTCAACCATTCTGGATCGGTCTCGCTTTCACAGCGTGACCCGTGCGTCTCGCACATAGTCTAGACTGCAGCAAACAGTCGCTCCACGGGGTATCATACGCGCGTGTGCATGTTTCCCAACGGAACAATATTGCTGGAATACGTGTTGCCCGGCCATTGTTGACTTAGAGCGGAAGAGTTGACGGTTAGTGTTGTTTCGCAGAGGCGGAAACTGATTCCTGCCCCGTTGCCATGGTTGTTGTTGGGCGGGAAGAGTCGCCGTTTGGTATGCCATGGTTGGAGGGGAAATAGAGTTGGGAAGATTCCTGCGGGGGAAATGATTGATGAAAGGGTCCAATTTCCCGACAGATCAGGGTACATTTCCTAAAACAGGGTCCAAATGTATAGTTATTGAGAAAAGTAGTCACGGCAGGGTACAACCTTCGCCTTTTTGGACGCATCGGGGTGATATTGGGCGCTGACCAATGATATGAGTGCATTTACTGCTGTTAATGACTGTGTAACCAACTTCTTTCTTCCCCTCGCTCCTCGACAAGCTTTTGCTTAGACATGGGTTGTAGCGAAGGGGGGGTCTTTCTGGCGAGCAGGGCTAGACTCACCCTCAAGGGATGACCGAAACCTTCTTGCTGCTGCGCATCCGCCGCGAGGCGTGCGTGTGGTGGTGGAGTTGGGTCGGCACTGATGGGGTCAGGCGGGAAAATGTAGATGCGCGGGCCTTTCTGGCCGTCGGCGTTGGCAGTGATGCCCATCTCATTTTTGTGCGCGGAGGCAGACACCATCAGAAAGGTGGACGGGCACTACACGGCCCTAGGTTTGCTAGAGGGAGCTGTATTGCCTCAGTAACCTGGCTTCGCCATCAAAGGAGGAGGGAGCAGGTGGCGACGAGCTGAACTAGGCTGGTTGACCATTCGGCGCGAGAATTTTTATTTTTTTCAGACCAAGAACCTTGAGTGCAATGAGGGAGAAAGCGAGGAACGGACTGGGAAGGACAGCAACGAGAGCGTGTACGGACGGAGCAGGTCGAGTGGCGTCTTGCTCGGGCTGACTACAGCGGCGCCGGATGGAGCAATGGCACCGGAGCATGCGGGCGACATCGACCCGTGGCGCACGGACAAACATTTCTATCTGTGTTGTCAATTTTTTTCGTTTTTTTTCTGACTTTCCGTGTTGGTTTTGTGTGATGACATCGTCACCGGTTTTGTAGAGAGACCCGTCAGAGATGGCGTGGCTAACCCGGGTGCATTGGTTTTGTGCCTGATCGTGGAAGACCCCTTCAATGTGGAACGATTCTTAGCTAGTGTCGATATTTTTCCCGGCAGTGCCGAACCCAGACGATCGGGAGAGATTCGGGTGATTGTCAATTGCTGCTATGATGGCTTTGGTTGGTTGTTCTTTTTCACTGTACGGCCGCAGACACATTCTGACAGCACTTCAGACAGCAGCTTTGTGCCCCGCCAGCTGCTTGTTCCATGCCTACCATGGTGTTTTTGTACAGACAGCACTTCAGACAGCAGTATGCTGTAGTCGGCAATCTTCCGTTTTGGTATAGAGTGGGACAGGGAGGGGGTGATGCTACTGTAGTCGAACGGTGGGACGGACGTGCAGTTCAGTTTTTGGGCACGCATAGGGTGCTGCAGGGATTTTTAGGTGTACCTCTTCGGGCTCTTGGATACCTTTTTCTCGTTACATGTGTGCGTGTTCTTTAGATCCTCAGATGGCTCTAGCACTTTCGTGACCACGGGCTGAGAGTCTTTTGCTAGATTGTGGCATTTGGCAACTGACATACGGTTTAATGTGAAGACAACAACAACAACAACGACCCAGCTGTGTCGCTTTTCGACCAGGGTATATACCTTGTTGTGTCGTATTCCCAAAAATACAGCAAGCAGCAAACAACACTTTTTGACAGCAGTACTTGAGGGGGCACAGCACCCACATACGTGGGGTGAAAACTTATGTTGGACCGGAAGAACAAAAATAATGGGTCATCAATGTTTCAGAGGGATAGAGCCGGGTAGATGCCGTCCTCCCACCAATCACATATCGACTATGTTGGACATTAGTCTATGTAGGACAGAGGCAGATGATTGGGCGATGGCAACGCCGCCTACATGTAGCGGGAATCCTCCGAAAGACGTTGCACAGCAGCAGCAGCACATGACACACGTGAACAATACACGAGTCATCCAGCACAGCAGCAAACGAGACTGCT